CTGCCTTAGGGTTCTGTGCCTTTGCTTCGAGTGACTTGAAATGGCCTAGACTGCACCTGGTGGTTCCTGGAGCTATCACACGCGCGTGTATGCTTGTGTATGCCTCCATGCCGTAATTGTTGAGACAGGGTTTCATAGCGTTCAGTCTGGTCTTGAGCTTGTGTTAGTCAAGGATGACCTTGAACTCCTGATCTTGCTGTCTCCCAAGTGGTAGGATTACAGGCGTACTTCACCCACATAGGTTTTTAAGTGTCCTCTTGGGAGTGAAGGCCGTGTTCCCCTGTAGCGTAAACTGAGAGGGGGGGGACTGTGTCCCACAGCATTTCTTGTTCTGGGGCGCCCCAACCTGTGTGTGACACCTTCTATTCACCAGCGTCTATATCCAGACTTTCCCTAAACTGCGTTCGTTAAACTCCAGGCTTCATCTCTAATCTGTAAACTTGTTCGTGCGTGCGTTCTCTCTCTCTCTCTCTCTCTCTCTCTCTCTCTCTCTCTCTCTCTCTCTCTCTCTCTCTCTCTCTTTCTTTTTTACTTTGCTCGTGCTTCTGTGAAACTCACTTTCTACAACTTTCTCGCGGCACTCTCAAGTTGTCTGAAGTCTGTGCTTCTTGTCCCACCGCGGCTGCTCTGGGCTCCTCGCAGCCCGCACACTGCCCGCCTCCCCCAGGGCCCCCATCCTTCTCTATACCCCCCATCCCCAGAGTTGGGGGGAGGGGGCAGGGCAGGCAGCCCGCAGGAGCTGGCAGGCGGGGCGGGGCCCTGGGAACGGACTGGCCAGCCTCGCCCCCAGGCCCCCTGCGCCCCTCGGGCCGGGGTGAGGGGCTGGCCCAGCGCCAGCGTAGGAGGCCGGCCCCCTCCCCCGGCCCGCGCGTAACCAACCAGGAACTCCAGCGGGGCCCACGTGACCTGGAGTTCTAGACAAAGAAAATGTTCCCTCCCTCCCCCCCAGCGCCCCCTCCCCCTCCCTCTGGCCCCCTCCGCCCCCAGCCCCAGCGCCCCCTGCCCCTCCCCCCAGACGGGCAGCTATTTACCGAGCTTCGGGCCGCGGCTCACACCTGAGCCGGACCGCAGAGGGGCTGCACCTGGCCTTATGGGTAGGTTCCTGGACGGAGCCCTGGGGATACCGGGGGCGGGGAGGTGGCAGGGCCGGTGGGAGGGTCCCCGCAGCCCTCAGTATGGCAAAGAGTCAAGTCAGCCTCCCTGGCCCACCTGAGCTCCGGGGGGGTGCCCACTTAGGTCGTCCCACTCACTTTTGTGTTTAGGAGCTTCAAGGCCCCACTCTTGACTGGCCTCATTTGTCACCGGGCACGCACGGGGGACTGGAAGATCAGTCCTGATAGTGGTAACTGCAAGCTGGGCGCAGACGGCCCTACTGAAAGCTGGAAAGAGTTGGGTTAGAAGCAGCCTGGGCTGTAGCTGTTGGCAGATGGGTGCCTGGCAGTTCTTGATGACCTGTGTGCCTTCTTGCGGTACCATGTTGGTTTCAAGGCCCTACCAACTCTAGGACTCTGGAGAGGGACAGTTTCCTCCCACGGTACACCCCAGTATTCCTGTATCACTAGGCCGGCATCCGGAAAGAAGTGGCGGGTGATGACAAGGAGTAGTGCTCACCCTCAAGTTCGAGAAGAGTAGCCTGGTGTCTTAGGATACTGAGATAGCCCAAAGCCGCATGGGCTTGGGGCAAGAGGCAGTTAGACCTCTGACCTTTGGAATGGGAGTCTCAGAGGGAGGTGGAGCCGGTACAGTTGCCTGAGGAGGCGGGACTGGACAAGGAAGCTGTAGGCAGCCGGGTTACCAGCAGCTTTCCTGGGCCGGAGGACCCCTAGGCCGAGCAGCTTTCTTGAGTCATGGGTATTGGGGGATGGTGTTGTGTCCCGCCTGGACCCTGCTCAGTCTCGGGGCTTAGAGACCAAATGCTAGAGCCCCTAGTTAACCCTTCCCTTTCCTATTGTCTGCTTGGGGGGTAGGGGTAGTGAACGTGGGAAGGAGGGTGGTTCTGCTGCCAGGCTCCCTATTCTAATGAGCCCCTCCCCCACTAGCCGTGCTGCCCCTTCTTCCCCTTTCCTCTGGCCTCCTGCTGCTAACCCCCTCTGCTGTGCTGGTCCTGGTGGAGGCAGGCCCCCTTCCTCCTCTGCCAGCCCAAGCTGTGCTGGGCACATGTTCAGCGCTGGTGGATTGGGGGTGCTATGCAGCTATCAGCAGCGGCATCTGACTAACCGGGGGAAGTTGTGGGAGAATTTTCACCAACTGTAGTGAAGGGGGTGAGGAGAAAGACAAAGGAGCTGTGGGGGGGATAATAAGGGTGGTGGCAGGCAGGACTGTCTTAGAGACTTGGCAGCCTGGGGAGGAGCCTTCTACCAGCTACTCCTTGCTGTGGAAATGGTATCAGACCCTTTTCCTCTGCAAGCTGCACGCCTCTTGCTGGCTGAGGAGCCTCGCGGGGCCTGCACACCAGGTCTTTGGGTCATCGGAGGCAGCCACCTAAGGCAGGGTCTGTCTGGGCTGTCAGAAGTTCTAGAAAGCTTGGTAGGAAGAAAGAGACAACATCTGGGCAGGGGTGTGTATATCTTTGTGTGTAATTTGCAGGTAGTGATTCCAGCTGAGGAGATAGCTTCCAAGAGAAAGGACTTGCCTGGGGGCCCAAATTGGTGTGCCTTTGGGGGAGGCGATGGCTAATTGATGGCCGGAAGGGGAAAGCAGCTGGCCAGGTGAGGGTGAGGCTGGGGAAAGTTGAGCAATTGCCCTGCATTCTTCCCTGGCCTAGAGCTGGTCTTCCCGGCTGTATCCGTCCACCTGGGATTTGTTGAACCAAGAGAAAACACTCAATTTCACCTTCTGTTTTAGGGATCACCGAAAGAAAAGGGTTGTTTTGCCCTGAGGCAAAAACATGAAGATTGGAATAAAATGTTACTAGATCGCTCACCTCAAAGGTGACCCCGTAAGCAGCTTTGCTTTTGTGCTTGTGAGGTGACAGGCCTTCGGAGCATCCTTGGAATCTTTGATACATACTGATTCAGGCTCTTCATGGGTCAAGAAAAGTGACCAGAAACCTTGAGTTTGAGTGTTTAGGTTGGAACAACTAAGAAAAGGCTGGGCCAGTCGGCTGGTAATGAGTTGCCGTGCCAACGGGATGGCAGGGCACATAGGCACTCCTAGCTGGTAGTTTTTTTTTTTTAAAGAGCAATTTCAAAGTAGTCCAGGCTGGCCTCCCAATGAACAGTTCTCCTGCTTGTGCTCAGACTATAGCTGTGCATACTACACCTGATAAGGTTCTAAGTTTTCCGATCTTTTAAAAAATTACATTTACTCAAGTGTGCTTCCTCCCAGCCTCATGGTATGACAGTGGGGATGAGGGGCAGCTGGCTGGAGTTCGTCCTCCTGCCAAGTGAGGCCTGAGGCCCAAGTTCAGTTCAAGGACCTTCACCTGCTTAGCTAGTCCCCCTTTTCTTTTAATCTTGAGAGTTAGCTGCCATAGCTCCACCTTTCGTGGGGAAAGCTATGTGCAGAAAATGGGGGTGGGGCTTTGGTAGAGCACATAGGTAAGAGTACACAGGCTTCAGGTTCAGTTCTTGACACAGATTTTGAAAAGGTTGGGCCGGGCATGCTGGTGCACACTTTTGATCCCAGCAAGAGCTCTGAGACGAGGTCATCCTGGTCTACAGAGTGAGTTCCAGAACAGCCAAGGCTACACAGAGGAACTCTGTCTCAAAAACAACAGCAACAAACAAAACCAGGAAAGGCTTCTCCTTCTCCCTGCTCTCTCCGTTCCCAGCTGGTATGGTGAAAATGGGTGCAGAGCCTTGAATTTTGAAGATGGGTGCTCAAGGTTTACTGATGGAGGTGAGCTGATTGGTCCCCAGAACTTGGCATCGAGCCTGCACTTCCTAGAGGTCTTGAGCAGTGATTTGTTTGTTGTTTGTTATTTATTTGAGACAAGTCTGTCTATTATGTTCAGCTCTGGCCATCCTGGAGCTTACTGTATAGACCAGGCTGGCCTCAAATTCACAGAGATCCACCTGCCTCTGCCTTCTTAAGTGCTGGGTGTGTATTAAAGGTACATACCCAGCGTGCCTGGTTTTGAACAGATTATGGGAAGGAATTGGGCTCGAGGGTCAAGTGTGCGGAAGGGTGTGGAGAATAAATGAGAGTGGCTGGTTTGTTGGCCACATGGCAGACAGCTCCTGATCAGGGTGCTCAGCAAAGAGTTGAATGAGCACACGCATCAATGATCAGAAGGCACACCTGTAGCAGCAGTCTGCTGTGTAATGAGTGAACCTAAGTGGCATCTGCATAGGAACAGGCATTTGCAGTGTTCTCTGTTACATTGTCGGAGCAGATCCAGGGCATGTACTCTTTTTTTTATTTTTTATTTTTGGAGACAGGGTTTCTCTTCGTAGCTTTGGAGCCTGTCCTGGAACTAGCTCTTTTAGACCAAGCTGGCCTTGAACTCAGAAATCCACCTGCCTCTGCCTCCTGAGTGCTGGGATTAAAGGCGTGCGCCACCACCATCCAGTGGATGCACTCTAAGAGATGGCATACAGTTGTGGTCTGGAAGCTAGGCAGGAGGAAAATGCAAAGCTCACATTCTCAGTTGGGAAGCTTAAGATCCTTCCCTGAACAGTGATGCTCAAATACCATTTGAGATGCTAGCCCTTCTGGTGTAAACCTTTAACCCTAGAATTTAAGAGGTAGGGCAAGAGGATCAAGAGTTCAGGATCATCCTCAGCTACAAGCATGTTTGAGGCCAACCTAGGCTGCATGAGATCCGGTGTCAAAAAAGCCAAAGGGTAGACACATGGCGAAGATGGTACTTTCCTGGAAGCAGGAGGGAGAGCTGAGTAGGCCTTCCAGCTTCAGCAGTTGTTTACTTTAGCTGCTTTGGCTGATGGGAAGAGCTGCTATCTCCAGATCACTGATGGAGGGTTGAAGAGTCTCTGAGTGTCACAGAGCCTTGCTCATTCCTGGAGAGGTCAAGGTGACTTCTGTCCCCATTTCTCCAGGCTGAGAAGAAAGCCAAGGTGATTGCAGTGATGAATGCTGTAGAAGAAAACCAGGCCTCTGGGGAGCCTCAGAAGGTGGAGGAGGCTAGCCCTCCTGCCGTGCAGCAGCCCACTGACCCTGCATCCCCTACTGTGGCCACCACCCCTGAGCCAGTGGGGGCTGATGCTGGGGACAAGAATGCCACCAAAGCAGCTGACGATGAGCCTGAGTATGAGGTGAGCAGGTGGCCTCTCGGCGGCCTTGACGCTCGCTTCTGGGGTCTTTTTTTTTTTTTTTTTTTTTTTTCTTTTTGGTTTTTCATGAGAGGGTTTCTCCGCTCCTGGGGTCTTGTCGCTGACAGCTGCTCCTCCCTCTTTCCTCATGCTGTCTCTTCCTGGCTGCTTGCAGGGCTTCATGGGGATACTGACTGACCTCACCTCTTCATTCCCACTGGGCTTTCTCTCCTTCCCTCATGCTCAGGACTGGGGTTGTGCTCTGGGAGGTTTCAGGGTGATGGGACTTGTGACTGCTGTTTAAATGACTTTTGCTCCTTGGCGCTCCAGGATGGCCGGGGTTTTGGCATTGGAGAGCTGGTGTGGGGGAAACTTCGGGGCTTCTCCTGGTGGCCAGGCCGGATTGTGTCTTGGTGGATGACAGGCCGGAGCCGAGCCGCTGAAGGCACTCGCTGGGTCATGTGGTTCGGAGACGGCAAGTTCTCAGTGGTGAGTTGGGCTCTTGGTGGTCAGGAGGTGGGGGAGAGAATAAGAGGGCTTGGTTCTGTGGCCTAGATTCTGCTCGGTGTAGAATATTCTAGAATAAGGGCATTAAAAATATACTGTATTTGCCCTCATGTATGGGGTTCAGTGGAAGAAGCCATAGTGGTCATTGAACTGAGCAGAAAGGTTGCTGGCCTGTCCCTTGCCAGGGGCCCTTCAGTATTTTCCCACTCTTGCTCTGAGCTCCTCTGTTCCTGTTTGTCACTTTTGTCAATGTCTCTGGTCCCCCAAGGGCCCAGTGACTCTCTAGTGTTCTCTTGGTTAGCAGTTACTAGGTACATGGCTTAACTGTATAGGGAACAACTGGATGTGGTAATTCTGCTGAAGCTGGAGGATCACAAGTTCAAGACCACCCTGACCTACACAGAGAGTGCCAGGCCGTGCAGTTGTAGGATAAAACCATGTCTCACAGGAGAAACAAACTGAGGGTGGCTTTGTCCCTAGGTGTGCGTGGAGAAGCTCATGCCTCTGAGCTCCTTCTGCAGTGCGTTCCACCAGGCCACCTACAATAAGCAGCCCATGTACCGCAAAGCCATCTACGAAGTCCTCCAGGTGAGCGTGTCCCCAGCAGCTCCGGGGAGCTTAGCTCGTGGGGTTCCCAGGACTCCTGGAAGTTGGAGCCTGCTTCACCTGGACTGAGGCCGTTGGGCAGGGATCTCCACTCTCCCTCCTGGCAGTTCTCCTGCCCACTGCCTGTCTCTCTTTGCTGCTCTAAGTTGGGTTTTACTTGTCATCTAACTTGTCCCTACTTTTCCCTGCTAGGTGGCCAGCAGCCGTGCTGGGAAGCTGTTTCCAGCTTGCCATGACAGTGACGAAAATGACTCTGGCAAGGCTGTGGAGGTGCAGAACAAGCAGATGATTGAGTGGGCCCTTGGGGGCTTCCAGCCCTCTGGTCCCAAGGGCCTAGAGCCACCAGAAGGTAAGTGGTCTCTTCCAATGCATTCTGGACCTGGAGACCCCACAGTGAGGCAGATAGAAATTGCATCCCAGGCTCCTGTCACCCCAAGGGTGTGCTACTCTGCCTTTCCAGAGTACCCTGTCATCCTTTGACTCACCAGAACCCCAGAACTGGAGCGGGAAGGAAGCATCTGGGGTAGTGTGGTGCCCTGCTGTGGGTACCAGTTACAGGATCAGCCTGTAACTAGTGTGGTCACCTGTCTTCTTGGTGCAGAGGAGAAGAATCCATACAAGGAAGTTTACACAGACATGTGGGTTGAGCCTGAGGCAGCTGCGTATGCACCACCCCCACCAGCCAAGAAGCCCAGAAAGAGCACAACAGAGAAGCCTAAGGTCAAGGAGATCATTGATGAACGCACCAGAGGTAGGAGCCGGGCTTTGGAGAGGGAATTGAGAGTCCCGAGGGTCGGACATCACCTGGGTGGGTGTCCGCCCTGAGCCGTCTGGGCATCCTCCTAAGGTAGGCTTTTGTCCTCTGCAGAGCGGCTAGTGTATGAGGTGCGGCAGAAGTGCAGAAACATCGAGGGTAAGTGTGGCCTGGCCTGGAGGGTGGGTGGTTTGCTCCTCACAGTCAGTGTGGCCATAGTTGTGGAGTGGCATTGGCATGGGTTCTTGGGAAGGTTGGAGTATTGTGAGAACAGGGAACTATCTGCACAACCCACCGTCTCCATCCAACTGATGCTCCTGTTCTTTAGGATTTGGGAATACCCCCAATGGATTCAGAGAAGGGTGGTCCTTGTGGCCTTGGTTGACCTTGACTGAAGTCGACCTTGCCATTTTCATTCTTTACCGTTTTAGCTGGTATCCACCTCCCCTAATCCAGTGGTCTTGTCATTAGGAACAGGACAGGACAGGAGGACTGCCCGAGGAAGCCCTGCAGGGCAACTTTGACCCACACCATGTTCTCATGAATGGGTTTTGTCCCTGAGTTGTCCTATTCCTGGGTGGTGGTTTAGCCGAAAGAGATGAGTGAGCTTCTGAGATTAGGAACCAACTGCTACCATTCAGTGAAAATATGCAGGCTATTTTGTGAATGAGCACACATGCATATATGTGTTATGCGTGTGTTTGTGGAGGGCCCAGGCTGATGTCAGGTGTTCTCAACTGCTCTCTGTCTCATGAGACAGGGTCTCAGTGAACCAGGAGCTGTGAAATTTCATCTGAGCTGGATGGCCAGTGTCCCCACCTTCTCCCTCCCCACAGTGGGATTACACGCATAACACTGCTATGCCTGGCTTCTCCCCACAGTGGGATTACATGCTATGTCTGGCTTTTTTCCTTTTTTTAACTTTGAAAATTTCGTGTGCATATACAGTTACGTTTACTCCCAGTTTGCCCCGTGACTCCCACTAGACTTGACACATGTTCCTTTCATTGTCTGCCCCATGACTCAGAGTCCAGTTGGTGCACTGTGCCTGACTTTTTAATATAGGTGCAGAGGGTCTGAACTTGGACCCTCATATTTCCTTGAACCGTCTGTGTCCGCAGACCTTTGCTGGTTTTGCCTTTGTCTCCCGTCCCTCAGGCTTGTCTTGAACTCACTTTGTAGTCCAGGCTGATAGTAGATTTTTTCTCAGCCTCTCAAGCGCTAAGGTTATGGCTGTGAGCTACCGGTGTTAGCTGCTGTTGTGGCAGCGCTTTGGTGGATGTTGTATTAACTGGACTCTAGCCCCCAGTGGACAGGAACTCCAGGGATGGCTGGATGGCTGGGTGGCTGCTCATGGCATCCTGTTATCTTACAGACATTTGTATCTCATGTGGAAGCCTCAATGTCACCCTGGAGCACCCACTCTTCATTGGTGGCATGTGCCAGAACTGTAAGGTAGGGACACAACCATCCTAAAGAGGTGACCTCCTTGCTGTCATTTGGCGTTGGGACCCAGCACCCGACTGAATGTGAGGCAGAACCCACAGTGCACTCAGGCTCCAAAGACGGAGGCTTGTTCTGGTTTACATCAGGAAAGATCCTTGCACGCTGGAGTGTTGCCCCACGTGGGCAGGAGTGGGACTTACAGCGATGGGTGAAGGGTGGGTGGCAGAGAGGCAGGCTGACTGAGAGGTGAGTTGCCATACCCTTGGGAGCCCCTGCAGCAGGCTGCAGCGTGGAACTATGGGTGGGCGGTTCCCTTCTCCACCTTGCTTTCAGGGTTGGAGCCTGTTTTCCTTTGGTTCTACTGCCCCACCCCTGCACTGGTGCTTCTGACCCTTCACATTCCCCCTAGAACTGCTTCTTGGAGTGTGCATACCAGTACGACGACGACGGGTACCAGTCGTATTGCACCATCTGCTGTGGGGGGCGCGAGGTGCTCATGTGCGGGAACAACAACTGCTGCAGGTGAGTGCTCGGGCCCCACCCACAGAGCCCCAGGCTGGGTCCTCACTGCTCACCTGCCACCCATGTTTGCACCAGTGCCCGCTGCCCCAGCCAGCACTCCTGCCTACCCCTATACTTTAGATTGGGTCTGAGACTCCGCCCTATTCACTGGGCTTTCTTCCAGGTGCTTTTGTGTCGAGTGTGTGGATCTTTTGGTGGGGCCAGGAGCTGCCCAAGCAGCAATTAAGGAAGACCCCTGGAACTGCTATATGTGTGGGCACAAGGGCACCTATGGCCTGCTGCGGAGACGGGAAGACTGGCCGTCAAGGCTCCAGATGTTCTTTGCCAATAACCATGACCAGGAATTTGTGAGTACTGTCCAGGCTGTGATCGCACCTTCCTGAGGCTGGTCTTTGAGAGCAATTCAGTGAGCTATGGGGCCTGGATGGCTTGCAGAAGGGAGCGAAAGGTGCATGAAGTTGTGCAGATCAATCTAGGAGTCCTATAGTTCTCAACTGAGGGGCCAGTACAGGACGGGAAGCTGGGGCAGACCCAGACATGGACCTGACTAATGGCATTCACCACTTAGGACCCACCGAAGGTTTACCCACCTGTCCCAGCTGAAAAGAGGAAGCCCATCCGGGTGCTATCTCTGTTTGATGGAATTGCTACAGGTGAGTGGCATGGGTTCTGAGGGACTGGCCTGTGGGGAGTAGAGTAGTATGTTTGTGGATCTGGTAAAGCTAAATGACTTAAGAACTGGGAATGGTAGTGCGGCCATCATTCCAGTATGTGGACAGAGGCAAGAGGGCCAGGATTTCATTCATAGGCTACACAGCTAGTTCAAGGCCGCCCTGGGTTGTGTTTCAAAAATCAAACAATGGCAGGATGATTATTGCTTTTTAAGGCCTGGCATGGTGTTCACACCTTTAATCTCAGCCCCCAGGAGGCAGAGGCAAATAGATCTCTGAGTTTGAGGCCAGTTTGGTCTATATGGCAAGTTCTAGCCAGCTGAGGCGACATAGTGAGGCCTTGTCTAAACAATTAAAACAGTATCATGTTACACCTAAGACTGTAGAAGCTCCCTGAGAAGACCTATTGGGAGCATAGAAATGGTGCCATTGTCCCTCATTTTTTATGCCCCTCCCTGGGTAGGCAGCACTGATGGGGAGTCTGGTAAAGAAGTCACCTTAGCTAGTTAAGGAAAAACTAGGGCTGGAGAGAAGGCTCAGAGGTTAAGAGGTCTGCTCTTCCAGAGGTCCTGAGTTCAATTCCCAGCACCCACATGGTGGCTCACAACCATCTGTAATGAGATCTGGTGCCCTCTTCTGGCCTACAGATGTACATGCAGGCAGAACACTGTATATATGATAAATGAAGGGACTCTGACATTTGCAGTCCAAGATGGGGAAAATCAGCTGAGGTTGAGAAGTGGTTCTAGGGGGATGTTGGGGAGCTGGGCCAATGGCGAAGCCTTCTTAGAGCAAGTGCTCTTCCATCGTTTCATATGACGACATAGAATTTCAACAGGAAGTAATAGGTAGTAAGTCAGCACCACAGTGAGGTCATGGAAACTGAGAGGAGAAGGCCTCTGAAGAAATAGCTATTCCCTCTGGACCTAAAACCACCTGCTGTGTTGGTTAGTCTCCTGGCTTTAGCTACCTTTCTCATAGGCAGAACTGAAGCACAGCCGTATTGCTTGTCTGTGCTTATCTGCTTTGGTCAAGAAAAGATATCAGGGAGCTTTATGTGGGCAAGGTGAAACTCATGCCTACACGTGGCCCCATGTGCAGTTGGCAAGACAAGTCTTTAAGACCAGGTATCAGGTTGAGGGCTCTGGGTGATAGTCCTTGCTCTATGCTGGCTGGTACAGGGCTCCTGGTGCTAAAAGACCTGGGCATCCAAGTGGACCGCTACATTGCCTCAGAGGTGTGTGAGGACTCCATCACAGTGGGCATGGTGCGGCACCAGGGAAAGATCATGTACGTCGGGGACGTCCGCAGCGTCACACAGAAGCATGTATGTCTGTTTGCGGGATGTCTCTTTTCCCCCAGTGCCTCAGCTGGGAATGTCATCACCTTCACCTCAGTCTGTCCATGTTTTCCTTCTCACTCTCTCTCTCCTCCCGCCCTTCCATTTTACTTCTGTGGCTTGTGCGGGTGATGAACAGATTAGAAATGGAATTTGGGGGCTAGAGGTAGAATTATAGAACCCTTGTCCAGAGGCCTTGAAGCCCTGGTTCAGCCCCCAGCCTGTGTAAAATGGAGAGTTTGCTGTTCTCTGGTGGCTTCAGGGCTCTTTGGGGTAATGTGTTCTGGACTGGAAAGAGGAGAGGCTGTCATCTAGGTGCTTCTAGCAAATTCTTTTACCAGTCTCCCATTGCAGGGGGTTAGGGGGTGCTGGCAGTCTTCCCCTTAGAGCCTGGTGCCCTTGTATAGATCTCTGCACCTCCAGGGGGCATTCACGGGACCCTGGCAGTTCCCCACCTTGGGAAAGGCTGAGGGTTTGTTTTTTTTT